ATGTCAGTGGGCTGGGCTTCAAAGAACTGGACTCTTCTAGGAGATGAGCTGCTGATGAGCTTCTCTTCCTGCATTTGGTTACCAACTTGGTAAAATCCAGATTAAACAAATCTCTGAGAAAAATAAAATGCAAGTAAGAGACTGCTCTGAATTTAGAAGAATGCTCTTGAAGATTAGTATTAAAAGCAGGACTGCCTCAATTTCAAATTGATGCCTGTAACTCCCTGCCTGTTAGTGATGTGCCATCAGCACCAGAGACATTAATGCTACCGACAGTCCAAGTGGAAGAAATCAGCTTCAAACATTTCCTGGTTTTATTCAACTCAGCACCAGGATGCAATGATAGCTTACAGAAACTTCTGTCAGTTAACAATGCTGAAAGAAAATTATTCTGCTGTTCACTGTCACAGCAGAAGACCAAACAAGGAGTCTTACCAAGAGGCCTCTTGTGTAGGCTCATAGCAAATTTTGTCCATAACTGTGAAAAAAACAAAAGCAGTAGTCAAATGCTGTCTCAAGTGGCCAGAAGAGGTAGACTCACCATCTGTCTGCTGCCCAAAACAGCCAGAGTTGTTCTGTCAAATCCAAAGAAAAATACACTTCAAAGTTGATTAAATCCATAGAGTAACACTGCATCATAAATGAAAGGAAACCATCCAACCTGCTAGCTGTGGATAAATTATTTTTGAAATCTCTCTCTGCCCAGATGATGGGAGCATTGCCAACCTTTCTTTGTAACTGTTCTGGACCTGGCTGGGATAAGGTTTTTTCCTTCATAGTTGCACTATGATGTTGTTTTAGAATTGTGACCAAATCAGTACTTCTGCAAATAAATATTTTAGTTACTCCAGAACAGCATTTGCACAGCATCCAGGACCTTTTTGTTTCTCACTCTACATCTTCCCCTGCTCCCCATAAACAGGCTGATGGGTGCACAAGGGTTGGGAGGGGGCACAAGCAGGAAGGCAACACAGACCAGAGAGAAGCCATTTAGAGTCATGCTCAGCAACAAAAAGGGAGAAGAGTGGGGTTTCAGTTCAGTTTGCCATCTGTTGTTCAGAACTTGGCTGGGCATTGCTTTGCCCATCAGAGGAGATGTGGGGCTGCCTCTGCATCACTTTTTTTGTCTTCTTTCTCTCTTGTTCTACTTCTTAAAATCACTTTTATTTTGAACCCAAGTTTTCTTTTCTTTTCTACTCCTCATTCCCTTTTCCCCTGAGGAGGAATAGCAGGTGAGCAAGGGCCTGGGTGGTGTTTAGGTGCCTACTGGGCTTAACCCCCAGCAATCACCAGCCCTTCACACAAAATCTATGGCAGCAAGGCACAGTATATGATTATTATCAACAGAAATGGGAAGAATTATGGAACATGCAACACTACCCCAGTGTGCTGAAAGGTTAGCTAGGTAGCAATGCTCATGATCTGCTATCAGCACTTTAGTCAACTAAGAATTTCTCAGTGTCACATTGAGTCTCATTCATGAACAGAGCTGTACTTCTTGCTTCTTTCAACTGCTATAGTCAACAGCATCTCACATGGTAGAGACACCATAAAATTTTCCAAAGACAAGAATAAGAAGCTTCTCCTCCAACCATTCTCACCATTTATCCTGCCTGGATGCTCACATCAGTGTAATATTAGGTTAAATGGAGCTGGTTTTGAACAAACTGCTCTTCAGCACCAACATCTACTCAAACTGGCTTTGTCAAAAAAAAAAAAAAAACAACAAACTTCTAAGTTACATCTTAATTTTCAAGTTCTCCCTCACATTTGTGATGTCAAACAGGAGGAGAAAAAAGAGGAATTCCCCAAACAGATGAGATTTAGATTAAATAGTTAGAGCCATGAACCATACTTGCACTCTTTCACACCCAGCCACCCACATGGCAGAACAAAACCACTCCAAAAATGAGGGTTCTTGCAAAAATGCTGGGTTTGGTTGCAGCTCTTCAATACAAACCATACCCAGAACAAACCAATCACCGTGGGTGCAAACATTGCCTCAGGAGGAATTCTTTTAACATGACAGGTACTAACCCCACACTGACAGTCCTTTCACCTCAGACAAATAAGAACTAATAACAGACTCCTTAAATACACCTTGGAAAATCAAGTAAATAGAAGTGTGTATAATTTATATTCAGGGTAAAAGAAAGCAACAGAATAAAGCCACCACATTACTACAGGAGCTGTTCTGCCACACACACCAGGCAATGTTCCTTGTTCTGACTGGGGATGCACAGAGCTGACCACTGAGACACAATAAGGTTTCTAATAAAGACAAACTTCACAGTGCCTTTTAGAAACAGACCCACTATCAGCCAAAGTCAAGCCAAAATTTTCACCCTGACACAGCACTTTGGATCCAGGATTACACTTAGAGACAGTGGGTAGAATATTGACTCTTAACAAATTTTCCAGGGTTAACCATGGGTTACAAACTGCATAAACTACCACTCTACTTTTGAAGTCCAGTGTCCACAGCCAGCCCCACATAAGCAGCCATCTCTTCACACACCTGAACTGCATACAAAAGTAGAAGCAATAGAAATTTTCAGCTTCAATGCTCTCCTACCAATGGAAAAATACACATGATCCTCAGGATCCTACCTTGAATCTTCAATGATGCAACCAAAGATTAGGTTGAAAAATAAAAGTTGTAGGTTTCTCATTTAATGACTTTGCACACCTTCCAGTATGCATCTCTAATTTGCAAAGACATGATAATGGTTTTACACTGTACAGCAGTTTACTTGCAGATTGATACAGTGGGAAAAAGTGGTGACATGTTAACTGTGCTGTAAAGGAGGTGGCAAGGAGCATTTTAATTTTATCTGAAAATCTGTCAGGACAGTTCTGTCATCATAAACCTAGCTCCCTTCCTTTTTCATAGTACCACATTCAATGCAATGTGAAAACCTTCCAGTTGAAGAGGATTAATACTGACATTTGAATTTTTCCAATGTATAAGTAGTATCAGCTTTAATAACAGCCATACACGTCATCCTTTATGTTGTATGACATCTAGAACAAATTTAGAGAACCTTTGTTCTCCCAACTGCTCAACACACCCGTGGAGGGGGAAAAGTAGGGATGAAAAATACTTAAGAGGGGCACAGACAGTGGTTAGAAGAAGGGCAAGAAGAAAGGCAGTGTTTCTTATACCATGGCTACTGCTTAGATTAACAGGAAGAGACCGGATAACTGGAACGGAAAATGGCTCCTTCAGCGACCTTTAGTGTGCACAGTGCCATCCCCGAGAATGAACCTTAAAAATGGATATGATCAAAACATTCATCAAGGAAGCAAGGAGCAGGCAGCTGACAGTCACTTGAGAGAGAAGCAATGTCTATGGTAAGACTTACGATTCTGGGCTTTTTAGATCAGTTTGACCTCAATTTGCATCTCCTTATCATTCTATTCCTTTAATTAGATTACAGTGTCTTTCATGGCAAACTGTAGGTGTTACAGTCTGGCTTCTTTAAACACATTTGAAATGTTAATTAAAAATGCTAACAGCTATGCACAGTAATGAAAATGTATAGAACCATGAGATTGATGAAATTCAGCTGGAAGAAACATTTAATGTAGCGACAAAATCCTGAGCAACTGTCAAATACCTCTCCTCTGTCAACACTCACTTAACAAAAGCTTTAGATGATCTTTACTAGAGAAAAACTATTCTTAGCTGTTTAAAAATGACAGCAGAACAGCCTGATCCCCCTCTAATGGGAGATAAGTCTTCCAGCATCTCAATGGCCTGAAAGTTTAGTTTGATGATAAAAGCAACATAGTTATTTTTAGCACTCCACGGGCATAAAAATACAGCTCTAAACTGTGACCTACAGCTATGCACAGCCAAGCATCACATCATACGACAGCCTTAACTTCAGCTACAAGCACGTCTGGAGTTGCTTCAGACTATCATTATTCATCTCGCTACCAACAATACATTTGGATGGATTTAGCAACAAGCATTTGAAATTGTTACCATCTTTTTTCAAATTGCTGCCACAGGCAGAACTCAATTCAAAGGTAGGAGATCTTAATGGACTTGGGAGAAAGTATTTGAGAGACCATGTTAGGTTAAATGGATTACTGCTTCTCTCCAGTACAGAGGATGAAAAAGAACCTTAAAAGCAGAAAAACTTAAACTGTCATATTCAGTACAGAAAGTCTTTTTTTTCTGGGCACAGTTTGAGTAAATGAAAAAAAAAAAAAAAGATAAAAAAGAGAAAAAAACCCTTGTTTTCTTCCAGCAGTACCAAGAACCTGCAAACGGGATATGCTAGAATAAGAGACCTTCAAGCAAACTCACCTGAAACAACACTGCTCACAGACAACTGCAAAGGTAATTTATGTTATTTTATTCTAATTTGCATGCTTGTAAGTGCATGATTTGTTAAAGTACAAATCAAAAGTCTATTCTACCAGATTTCTGTCTCCAGATTATGTGAACAATAATTAGAATATTTAAAATAAAAATTGATACATAAGTTATAAAACCAGATCAAGCAGAGTTTTAGCACGTTACTAATTAATTAATTTCATTTTAAAATATATGTGTAAGTTCAAATTTTTGAGGTTTGGGGGGTTTGTGTTTTGTTGGGATAGGGTGTTCTTATATAGTTGGGCTTTTTGTAAGGTTTGAGGGGTTTTTTGTTAACTTGCATGATGGGATTTAGGGGTTTCCTCGCTGTTTGTTTTTTAACTCATGTATACTCTGGATAAAATATGAAATATTTCCAAGGTGAGAGATATGTACTTTCAAATGCTGTAAATTCCACAAAGTACGTTAACTCAGAAAAGAGACAGAAAATAAAGTAACATGCAAGACTTGTCATATTTCATTACGGCCTGGTGATTTTGTACAGCAAACTATTCTAATCATTAATAAAGTTTCATTCAATCCTTCAGTTCCTAAGAAAGAAGTCTACAGTTAAAAAGAACTAATCAGACAAACAAGCAAAATTATTTTTTTTCCTCTCCCCAGCTTAAAAATGCCACTTTTTGGCTGGATGAAATGGTCAAAAACTGATTCCTTCAAATCCACAAGATGTCCTGGATCAGAAGTAGTTACAAAAACCCTGCTGAGGGAGTTGAAATGGCACCTAAAAGAGCGTGAAAGGTTAGTGCAAGAGATTGAAAATGAACAAAAAGTCCAGAAACCTGGCATGGATTACAACTGGCTCAAGAACTACCAAAACCCTCAAGCAACAATTCCAGCTACTGAGCAACGGCAGCTTGAAGTCCTGTGCTCTCAAATCCAGCCCTGCCAAACAGGAACTGTTCTCAGCAGGTAATTGTTTCATATTTCCCTGACTCTGAGCTCTCTAGCACAACTAAGATGTTTCTCTACCTAATCAAAGTTTGTATTTGGCTCTGCTCTTCCTAAGTAGCAATGGCCAGCAACTGGAGAGCATTTTTACAGTTGTTTTAGGAATTAAATCTTCACTTGAATATGTTGTACTTGAAGGAAGTTTTAAATCAGGATTTTCCTGGTCTAATCCAAACAAAGGAAATCTCGTATGACCTTTCAATACTTCCTATTTTTCCTATTACTTATCCCCTCTATTTATTAAATAGCAACCCAGTAACTAAAAATCAAATAAAACGAATAATGCAATGCACCATTATGCAGAAATCCAGCCTTGCTGTCTACAATACCAGAAAGCTTCTAAAAACTTGAAAATCAGTGTAAATTAAAAAAAAAAAAAATCCCTCCATGCATTTTATGAAGAAAAATTCTTCTATGCCTGCATTTTAAGTACATTTTCTAGGGACTCAGAAACGGCAGAACAAGTCCATTTGCCTTTTAAAGCCCAGAATACACCTAAGGGCAAAGTCAGTTTGAATCAAGTTACCCAGATGGGCCAAAGAAGAAAAAAAATATTAAAAAGAGCCTACGCAATTACAACTGCTTTCAATCCACAATAGCTGGAGCACATCCAGTGCATTGTTAGAGCTCTTTTCCTCTTACAATCTTCTGGGGGAGGTGAGTGGGAAAATGTGGCAGCAAGGAAAAAATGACACAAAAACTCAAGTCATTTCCTCCTTCCCCACCCCCAAATGACCAGAGAGGAAAGAGAAAAGTTTTCAGTGCCGATGATTAGATTTCAATTTTTTGTTTTTTTCTAGATTTCGGGAAGTTTTGGCAGAAAATGATGTTTTACCGTGGGAAATAGTCTACATATTCAAGCAAGTTTTAAAAGATTTTCTTACCACCATTGAGAGAGAAAACCAAGCAGAGCAGCTGGTAGATGCATGGAATACAAATTGCCCTGAACATTTCAGTCTGCGTGGTGACAGCTCCAACAAGTCGGACAAAGATGAAATCCCCACGGTCTCGAGTTATGTCGACAAAAACACACAAAGCATGTTTCCCACCTTCTCCCACAGAATCTGGAATCTACCCTACTACTACCCATCAAGTTAAGTTGGTTTGTGTTATTTTCAAGAAGTTAAGTAGCCATCCACATTCCTTTGTTGTAATTGCCATCCAGATACACAAGAGTAAGAAATGTGACATGCTCCCCTTTTTATTCCAAGTTTAGAAATTAAAATCCTTTGTAATAGCTGGTATGCAGTAACTTAGGTATCAACTCACCTTTTACCTTTATAGTTTCTTAAGAGTTGTTGTGTTTGAAGCCACCTTTTAAAAAAAATGTAGAAGTTTCTGAAAAAAAATCTGAGGCAGTTTAATTATCAGCCATATAGAGCTAGAAGTATTTAAACAACAAAAAAAAGATATTTTGAAACAGCATCAATCCGCAGAGTGCTAGACAAAAACTTCTGTGTTTGTCACATAGCTTTTAAGGTCTATGGGAACTTTATACTGTGTAAAAGAAATGGTTTAATATAACATCAGTTAAATAAACTGGTAAATACTTTTTGGAGCTGAATAATTATTTCTTAACTTCAAGCATAACTGCATGTAAACACTGACAGAACTCAGCTGCATGTACTGTTTCTATGGTTTTTTTCTAAACTATGCTCTGCACATGCTGAAGTATGTGAAGGACAGCTAAACAAAACCAGCAGATATTTAACAGCATTTAACAGCTAGCTCTCTATTCTTTTAAAAAATTATTGAATTATCTAATTTTATATAGCTGTTTTTCATTTGACTTACTTGTTCTGAAACCCAAATTCTGCATTAAACTCTTAATATTTTGACCAAATCAGATGGTACCTCTCTAGAATAGTCAAGGAGTCAACAGATGATTTCCAACACACAAGGTGTTCATTCTAAATTTACACATAACAGAATCTAATGTTTCTCAGCCACCATGATCTATCACTGTGGGTTCACCAAGTTTTATAAGATTAATCACATACATAGCAGTCACGGTCACAGCAGGCAATTAGAGCAGAAAATCAATGAAAACATATGCCAGAACTCAGCTGGCTACATTTCCAATTGTGCTCCCATCACTTTAACAAGTTTTTACATGTTTCATATAACGTCCTCTTCTCTGTATTTGCTTCTGATCTGTCTGCTGGATCAGAAAATATGGGCAAGACTCACATGGCCCAATTCACAGAATACACTATTTCATAAACTAAACTCCTTCCTCTGGTATTGTCTTCAAACATACTGAAGAAGCCAATCAGATTTCATCAAGTTGGTAAAACAACTATAAGGCATCTTATGCTCCACAGCTGTATTCCAGAAAAAAAATTACTAATAATGCAAAATAAACTGGAGGAACAAATGGCACAATCATTTACTAAACACTTTTAAAACTTCTTTAAAATGGTTTTTAAAAGTCTTTGAAAAGCTTATTATATAGAGAATATTTCATGTAGAAAAATAACACATAATATTCACAAAAGACAAAACAACGAGAACTCCTACATCCATGTAAAGGACAAAGACTGGAGGACTAGAGCAAAAAACTTCCAACAGGTTTAAAAGAATAAAAGCTGCAGCTCAATACCAAAAGTAACTAGCCCCTTCACCTCCCATGAACTAAATACACAAAGCTTCACAAGGACATGCACATTTCTTATATCTGCACTCACAGCTGCTGTAAACTCTTTGCTCTCTTCTTGTCAGTTTGTGGATTGTGCTAAACTTACTCAGCCCCACTGATGCAGCACAAGGAGCTGGAGATTCTCCTCGTGCAGTTCTAATCCAATCCCTGCATGAGGGCAGCAAGAGATTCAAGGAAAGATTTTTCCACAGTGATAAAACTCACAAGTATTAAATATAAAGTACCTTTGCTACAGGAAAGAGGGCAGCAGGTACTGAGAATTTAAAAGGCATTGGTAGGATTACTCTGAGAATTAACATACATAATGCTGGTTTCAAGATAGCTTTGAAGTGGTCAAATGTGCAAAATTCCTGCAATGGCAATTCATATAAGTTTATTTCTTAAAATGGCATCCTCACAGCTCTCTATCTGATAAATAAATAAAAAAACTCTAAAACTGCAGCTTCCAAATTTTTACTTATGGAAAATGGAAGGCCAGTAACATGGAAGATCCACTTACCTTAATCACCAAAAATGAGAAGGGAAAACAAACACAAGAAGATAACCCCAGATACAACTTACTCATTATCCACACTCTGCAAACTTCAATTTAATTTTAACATGAGCAAATGCATTTTCCAAGTTCAGAAAGAGGGACCATCAACTATGCCATATTCTAAAAGGCAGATGCTGCACAATAGTTTAAAAATATAGACAGGCACCATAGCAAATTCAGTGTTAAATCCCTATATGGTGCCAGGGAAATGCACAGAAAGGCTCACCTACATTTATATGCATGTTTTAATCAGATTACTGCATCCAGTTCTAGTGTCTGCATTTGGGGGGAAAGGAGAAGGAGAAAGCAAAGGAGAACTGCAGAAGGTACAGGAAAAAAATATCCAAAGGCTGAGAAATTGCCATCATCTAAGGACTCACTTTGGCTATTTTTTCAAGTACTGAAATGTGGGGAACTTTGTGGAGTACTAACACTTCCTCCTGACCAAATTGCTATATACTCTCTCTAGTTAAAAAGCAGAGAAAAGCATAGAAAAAGCAACGGGCTAAGGGCAAGAAGCCAAACTAAAAATGTTGAATATATTTTAAAGAAATTTGTTAGATTTACCACAACATGCTGCCAAGAAAATCTGTTCTTCAACTCAGCAGCTGACACAAGGCATTTGCTAGAATTATGCTTACCCTTGGAATTCAGCTACCTCAGACAGGAGTAAGATTGCTGGAAGACCAGTCACCACCACCCTGTGGGAGACCACTGTCCAAGCAACTGCTTCCTTAAGTATTTTATATTTATGCCCTACACAGTTTGCATGAGATTTTCTAAAACTACACTGCCCCTTATACTCAGCCAGCAGGTATTTCTGCAATAGGCAGGAGCCACCACAAACCACCCTGGGGACAGAAAGGTGACTGGCAGTAATTCCAAACGACAGCAGGGTCTCCCACCTGCACAAGCATCAAGCAAAGCAAACAGCATGCAGTATTCCCAGCCACTAATTCAGCTTCAAAAAGGTGCTAACTTGGTGAAACGTGCACCTATGAGATGCAGGAAATAAAAGAGTTAATAGACACCTTTTACACACTTAAGCCCTTTTTTGTCTTAATGTGAACACAATTGTGTTAATACTAAGAAAGAATTTAAGGGTCTAAATTTCTTTTCTTTCAGTTAAACATAATAAAAGGAATTAAAAAGTTAATCAATGAGTTGTTTAAGAGCAGAAATTCCAGTCAGATTTTATGTAGTTTCTATTTCTACTACCTTTCCTCAACAACCTCAATTACTAATACTGTTATTCTATAGGTAGTTCAGGAAGCAAAAGAATCTTAAAACCTTGGAAAATGAGGCATCATCGGTAAAGGAAGGAAACACATTCCCCATGTCTTTTTAAGGGAGACACGAGGCTTTCAGATCTCATTAAACAGTATCAGTAACATTTCTGTAAAGTATTATTACACACACTCGTGTGCAATTACACACCTGTTATTACCAATCTGGTATTAAACCCACAAATTCGTACATATAAATTTAGACAAAACTGGTAGGCACAAAACTGTCCATCAGTAATTATACATCCAGTTTCAAATGAACATAAATAAGGATTTCAAAAATCTGATTAACTTTGGTTTTGTCTTTCCCAAGAAACAAAAAAAGAATTTTGAAGGAAATAGACAATTATGCTACAAGCAGCCTCAACAAATGAGGAGAAATTCTTTTGTTTTCAGCTCCTCAAACTCTTTCTGAAAAAGCCAGTGAATAAAATACAAGCATTTCCTTTGAAATGCTTGAATCTAAACCACTCGAATTTAAACCTCCTATAGAGAATTCAAGTTTTGCAAAAACACTCCAAATGCAAGCACATTGCCCGAGCTGTGAAACAGAAGTATGCATGAAAACAAGACACAGCTAAGCAAACACAGCTTCTCACACAGATTCCTTCCATTTTGTGGCAGGACAGACACAAACCTATGATCTGTGCTCAAAGGTTTTATAGCTATTGTTAAGAAATTCTGTCCACACTAACACAAGTGGTCATTTGAGATGCATATCGCTTCTGTCCAACTCCGACATGGGGGAAAAAAAACATTATAGAACCAAACCTGTAAAAAAAATTGCTGTCAAACTCACAATCAGGTTACCTGCTAAGACTTGTGAGTGGAAAGAGCTTTCTGTTCAACCAAAAATAAAGATATACCTCTGCCTAGTCACACAAGGCTTGATCAATCGTGCTTATTCCTCCTGTGTACAGAAAATACACAAAACAGACCTTGTAGCTTAGTACTCAGTTGGGTTAAAGAGTCAAACACTTAATAAATACTACAGAAAACGTTACTATCACCGAAATAAAGACTGAAAAGTCAAAAACATCTTGCTTGAGGCATCACATTCACAGAAATAACTTAAAAGAACTGTAAAATTTTGTCTGGTCACTTCTGGAAAACTTTAACTAATTACACAAAGCCCAGTAGCTCTCAGTCAGCCATTCAGAGCACTGAAAGATAAAAAGGAATAGATATTTGGAGGTGCCAGTTTTGTCCTTCACTTGAAGCAGACAGAAACACTGCTAGCCTCAACAGCCTCTGCTGAAATATCAGACTACCTGATAGCAAAATGTTACACAAAGAGTTCATGCTTTCTCGGGTGCCAGTGTACACCTTTTAAGATAAATACACCTTCCTGAAATACAGCAACCTCTATTGCTGTGCAACACACAGGGAAAAATAAAACCAAAACACTCGCCCTGGAGTGTATGCCCAGTTCATCTTGAAAATACTACATGGAAGTGCATACAAAAACACTTTTAGCAACCACAGATACACTGCCACACCTGCTCTAAACACCAAGATTAGTATGCACTACCACAGTCCAGGCACCATCCAGGGGAAAGCAGATTTTGGATTTCAATATCCAGACTCCAGTGAAAAGCAAATGTACCTGGCTGCTCTG